TGCTTGTACATTCATTGGCATACCTTTCTTTAGGTTGGGAAAGTTTTCTTCTATGATCATGTTGAATGTATTTTCTGCCCCTGTGAGCTGGTTTTCTTCACTTTCTTCTGTACCTACTGTTCTTAGGTTTGGTCTTCTCATGTTGTCTCATATTTCCTGGGTATTTTGTGTTAGGGATTTGTTGGACTTAAGATTTTCTTTGTCAATGAATCTATTTCCCCTAGTGCATCTTCAACAACTGAGATTCAATCTTCCATCTCTTGTATTCTGTTGGTTATGTTTGCATCTGTAGTACCTGACCGTTTGCCCAGCTTTTCTATTTACAGCCTTCCTTCATACTGTGTTTTTTGTTGTTTCTATTTCAGCTTGCAACCCTTGCTCTTTTTGAATTGTTTCCTGCAATTTTTGCTTTGTCTTTTTGTTCATTTGTTGCATTTTTTGGACTTTTTGGGTTGTGTTTTCTTCCATTTCTTGCATTTTTTGGTTTGTGTTTTTCTTCCATTTCTTTAAGGGATTTTCCCATATCTTCTTTGAGGGCCTCTATCATTTTCATGAAGCTGTTGGTAAGGCCATTTTCTTCTGCTTCATTTGCATTGGAGTGTTGGAGTTTTGCTTGTGTGGAGTCTCTAGAATCTGGTGGTGTCATATTTGTTATTATGTGGCTGAGCTTGTTTCTGTATTGTCTCCTTCCCATCCATTCTTGAGTTGGTGCAAAAAGAGCCAGTTCCTGGTGGTTAGGGGACCAGAGTTCCCATTAGCTCAGTGGAAGCATGTCCAATATTCTGGTAGATCTCCTCTTCCTGGTCTTAGACCTGGTCCCGTGGGTAGTGAAGAAGACCAGGAATCTGGGGTGTGTAGGCTCAAACCGGGAGGGGAGACTCAGTGGTAGTCTCCAGGCCTGGATACAGGGCCTGGCTTACTTGTGTTCTGTGTTCGTTGGTGGAGAAAAAGGGCAGGAATCTGGGTTTGTAGGCTCCTGGCAGGAGGGGAGGCTCAGTGTGGGTCTCAAGGCACTGTAAGAGAGCACAGAAGTGGACCCCAAGTTGCCTGGTCCCGTTGGTGAAGGTGAAGACCAGGAAACTGGCTTGTGCAGGCTCCTGCCAGGAGAGGAGATTAAGTGGCAGTCACCAGGCACTGGTCTCATGGGTCTAATTGCCTATATATTAAAGGAGGTTGTAAATTTCAAACTCAGCAGAATTTAAATTTCTCATCACTGTCATCATCAACACAGTCACCACCTGTAAATCCATCTTATAACCTTGTTACAAGTGGAGCTACTATCTCAGGTCTGATAGCTATTGAGACCTTAGGTCCCAATATTGCTTCCTTAGCATCTGCAGAGGGCCCAGGGAAGAAGGATGCCATACATGTCCTCAGAGAAAATTACTACTGGGATTTCAGGAAACTGGGGCCAGACCCAGGTGCCATCAATCTTCTTTTCCAGTAGAACTAGGTCCTTATCTAAGAAGTACCCTGTCCTGAATATGCAAATTACCTGAGTCTGTTATGGTAAATACAAGATCACCCATACTTCAGCACAAAATAAAATCAGTGTCCTTTCCATAGTTACAGAAGACACAGGTCCCAACATGAAATGGAGCTGGATCATTAACTTGTTTGTGTCAGTAACTACAGGTAAGGGGATTTCCAGTTCCAAACAAGAAGAAGGAATAGGGACTGAGGAGCCAAAGGGATAGACTCTTCCATTCTCTCCACAGTGTCCATTCTCAGGTCTAGCTGCGCCAATCTGGGGCTCAGCTGGTGAAGCGTGGGGCCACAGTGCAGTTGTCCTGGAAGGCCTCAAGCTACACATTCACTACGTATGTTGAGCTGGGTGAAGCAGAAGCCTAGACAGTCACTGCAGTGGATTGGAAGGATTTATCCTAAAAATGGCACTGCTGCCTTGAATCAGAAGTTCCAGGACAAGTCCACAATGACTGCAGAAAAATCCTCTAGCACAGTCTACATGGAGCTAAGCAGCCTGACATATAAGGACTCTGCTATCTATTACTGTGCAAGAGACACCCAGTTTTGCAACCACATGTGAGTATGTCAGGAAACCTGGAGGAGCAGGAAGATAAGATGACAGAGACAGTTACCATGGAAACATTCTCAGTGTCTGTTTGTCAGCCTTCTCCTCACAGTCCTCAGGATTCTTGTCAACAGTGCAAAAGTTCTTTTGGGCTCCTGCTTAGGTAACAATGGGGACAGAGCAGTGGAATTGTACACTGATAGTAGACCATTTACTGTCATCAGGAGTACTGCATGCTCACTGTCCTGTTTCCTGATTCTGGATTCTCATGAACTCTCTTGTGCAAATTTAGATAGCAAAGAACGTTCCCTTATCTGTGAATTCCAGGAAATCTTCAAGTGACAGACTTAGAATGGTATGAGAGATCTTTTCTTGTTAGATTCAAACCTGCTGAACTCATGTAAGGTTCACGGTGCTGACTTCTGTGGGGACATACTAGATTTCTCAGGAATAGACAATGCTTTCATCTTCCACAGAAATCTCTCTTATGGATGCAATAATGAATCACAATAAAAAAGATTCCAAGACAGCTACTCTTACCTTTACATGATTACAGAGAAATTATAAATCTGTCTACAGACGTTTCACAGCAATCCCTACTTGGGAATATGTTTACTCTCTTGGAGACCAAGTTCAGTCAAACGAAGCACAGAGGTATACAGTCTGATAATAAATATTATGATTTTCAAATCACATCATTTTGTATGATCAACAAAATTGCTAAATATCTGTGTTAGAGAGAGCAATAAGGAAAAGTAAAATAAGTTAATTATGTAGAGTCTGAAGAACAGGTGTGGAGAGGACAGCAAGGGTGTTTCCTGACTCCACCCAGCATTTATTCCTTTCATTTAACCACATACAAGGCCCTGGAGACCATTTTCTCTGGCAGTTAGAACTCTCCCTTAGAAGGATACAAGATTGGCCAGTTTCTAGAATCTATGTCACTCCCATGGGAACACTACAATAACAGATACGACACTGTTCATTGACTCTTGCAATCTCCATGAAAACTGCTTTTTTTCATAACGGACAGATTTTCTGTAATGGAAAAGTAGAAACTTCTTGGTTTGAAAGTTGATGATATTCTGAGGAAAAATGACAAGTATCCATGGGGGTCCTAGCCTTCACCCAGAAGCTATCTCCAAATGATTGCCTTCAGATGAAAACTGAGATTTCTCTAAGAGAGTATAACTGAGAAAAACAAAAAGTCCAAAGCATAGGTTGAAGGTCCTTCAGTAGATGTCATCAAGTATCCATTCAAGTGCATTTTGGAGGTTCCCTGTCTCATGCTATCACATGATTTTATTTATAATTCATACATTTATTTATGTATCTGTTAGATTATCTTAGGTTTCCTTTCACTATATAACACAACTTCTAATTTTGTTTTTTTATGGGATTCTTGAGTATGTAAGTCAGGTGATCTGTGAATACATACCTGTTTCTTGTGTTTTTCTCGTGGTCTTTTCCTTTAGTTTTTGTTTTCTCTTGTTCCAAGGTGTTGCATTTTATATATCATTTTATTTTATTTTGTTTTATTTACTAGAAGTCAGTTTGTTTTCAAAAGACAGCAAGGTGATGAATAGCGATGAGGAGGACTTGGGAGTTGAGGAGGGAAGCAGAAGTATGATATTCAGCTCTTTCTATCAGTATGGTTTCCTCTACCTTATACAATTTGGATGGAGCAAGATGTAGTTATGGGCTCTTTGCTGAAACAATATGACAGCATTCTAACTTTCTGTGAAAGTTGTTAACCCATAATAACATTAGGGGAAAAGGGAAGACAAACTGAGAATTGGGGGCATCCTAATCAAATACCAGGAACTTAGGAACCCAAGTGAGACCATTAAAATACAGGAGCAGTAACTATATTAAAAGCAACATTATTCCAAAAAAGCCTGAAATTTTAAGCAACCTAGATGCCTCTCAATAGAAGAATGAATATATAAAATGGGGTACATTTACACAAGAGTGTACTTCTCAGCACTAAGATTTGCAGGCAAATTCACAGAACTAGACAAGACCATGCTGAGTGAGATAATCCTGACTCAGAAAGATAAGTATAGTATGCATTCACTGTTAAGTGGATACCAGGAATAAAGCAAATGATACACAGCCTACAATCACAAACCCAGTGATGCTGGAACTCTCTTGAATTAACAGATGGAAGCAAATGTAGAAATCTACAACTAACCATTTGGCCAAGTTCTGGAGTACAATCAAAGTGAAGAAGGAGCGATAATGTGAACAAAGGAGAAAAGACTATGGTGGGAAACCCACAGAATCACCTGACCCAAGCGAGTAAGGTATCAGTGACCTTTATCTCACAAATTGGAAGACCTGCAGAAGACTGAACTAGACTCCCTTAATATAGGTGACAATGGCGTGCTTGGGACAATATATCAGGACACTGGAAGAATGTCCAACATCTATCTCTAATGTACAAACTGACTTAGTGGAACCCATTCTATATGGAGATATAACTAGCTCAGACTAGACACAGAGGTGCAGCATGGTGGGGAGATGCCTTTGTCCTGCCTGCCACGAGATGATGGGAGAGACTTATTCCAAGAGGAAGACTAACTCTCTCCAGGTTAAGATGGCATCTGGGGGGAGGAAGTGGGGGAGCAGGAGGAGAAGAGGGAGGGAAGTGGGATTTGAATGTAAAAATACACTTATTATTTAAAAATAAAAATACATAGTATGTTAAGAAATAAATGAATTGAGAAAACAAATTTAGGAAAAGAATTTCGTGGGGACATTGAGCTAGGAAGTTGAGGTAGGATCACGCCAAGATGTGATTCCTTTGATTCCCTATAGTCCCCATCCTCTCTATTCCAGACTCATACCTAGGAAGTCAGAGGCAATGATGTTAACATTGTAATAAGGAAATGAAGTGGTATGCGCCCTCCCTACTTAAAAAGTCTAGGCAGACTCCCACATGCAAATGCATCTTCCAGCTCTAAGTTAAATCCCCTCCAGGACTGTGCGAGCTCACATCTCTCTCACACGAGGCTGACCTCTGAGAAAAGCCTAGAAGATGAGACTCCTGGGTCTCCTGTATCTGGTGATAGCCCTTCCTGGTGAGTGTGACCACTTCATACATGTGTCCATGTGACCACTTCATACATGTGTCCATGAGGGGTTATGACAACATGTGATTGACAGAATTGACTCTTTTTCTCTGAAGGCGTCCTGTCCCAGATCCAGCTTGAGGAGTCAGGACCTGGCCTTTTGAAGCCTTCACAATCTCTGTCCCTCACCTGCTCTGTCTCTGGTTACTCCATCACCAGTGGTTATGTCTGGAGCTGGATCAGGCAGTCCCCAGGAAAGAAGCTGGAGTGGATGGGATACATAAGTAGTGGTGGTAGCACCAACTACAACCCAACTCTCAAGAGCCGCATCTCCATCACCAGAGAAACATCCAAGAACCAGTTCTCCCTACAGCTAAACTCTGTGACCACTGAGGACACAGCCACATATTACTGTGCAAGAGACACAGTGAGGGGACTTCAGTGTGAGCCCATGCAAAAACTTCCCTGAAGAGGAGCTCTGGGCCACCAGAGGGCACTCAGTGTTCACCAAAACCAGGAACTCTCAAAACCAGAGCTGGGAATTAAAACATCTGGTTTCCTCTGACTTTGCTTCTCACTCTCTAAGCACAGGGAGCACAGGGGATCTTTTCTCTCTGAGTTTGAAGTGCTGGGTTTTTGTAAAGTCACATTTGTTTGTAACTCACTACGAGTCTTGAGACAGCGCACAGCATAATATTTTGTGTTCTTTTTGATTGTGATTCTAGCCTATACTATCTGAGCACTCTCTTGCCTTAGAATTTTTTTAATGTAGCAAACTTTTTGACAGTCATCTGACCTTGGCTTTGCAGTAGTTGCACCATTAAAAAGTCAGTTCTACTCTTGGTTCTCCATTCCTTCTACCATCAGAAACATCGACATGTCATTGTTCTTCCTAGAATATTGACAGGAAGCATTTGCTGCTGTGACTAAAGAATGTTCTTTAGACTGTAAGGTGTCCACAACTCACTGTAACTGTATTACCCACCCCATTAGGTGGGGCAGGGATTTCCAGTGTTCAATTGTACATGGCTGAGTTATAATAACTCTTATTGTGAAGTTGGTACTCACTCCAAATTCTGGGATATATTGTATGAACTGGACTTAAATTTGCACTGTGAATAAATATATCACATTAAATAAATCCTCATGTGTTTACACTGATAGTTACTATTTTTTTAAATGTGTCAAGAAGTGTGTGCCATACTATGGCTACAGGAGACACAGTTTATAATTGGGAGATGAATTCCAGCATCAACATTGCTAGTGATACCTCCTGCAGCCAAGGTTATTTTAATGAACCATTTGCCATTTCTTACTGTGCCAGAGACATGGGAGGAAAATTCAGTGTGATGTCAGACACAAACCTCCCTATACAGGAGCTTGGGAACAACATAGGCCCTTAAGAACTGCTGAAGCTACTCATAAATCCTAGATGGCCGTCAGATGGTAGACAGTTCTGAACTGATACTATGTGCTTCCTTGTAAATGAAGGTGTGTGGGTTTGCATTTTAGAATATGTGGTTTCCTCTTCCTGTTCAAATAACCTTCTAGTGTCCCTTGACTGTGTCATATTCTATGACAATCAGCACCAGTTTCCATTCTATAAGCGCCTGTTATTTCCCTATGGAGCATCTAAGGTATCCGTTTGCCACTTGCCATCAAATAGCATAAACACAAAAATGAAATTTTCCACATTGTCTGTAATTTTAAGACTTGGTGATGATACATTCAGGTGGAGATCACAGGAAACATTATTTTTTGGTTTTATGAGACAGGGTTTCTCTGTATTGCTTTGGAGGCTGTCTGTACAGCCTGGCCTCGAACTCACAAAGATCCACCAGCCTCTGCCTACCGAGTGCTGGAATTAAAGTCATGCACCACCACCGCTCGGCTCACAGGGAACTTTAAATAATCTGTATTTATTTCCCATCATGGGGAGGAGAATCCAGATCTTCCATGAATGAATTTTATTAACTCACATAGATCAGAAAGAAAATTGTCTACAGTGTCCAGCTTCCAGTATGTATTGATACTCTCTAGTAGGGTATATTTAATTCACATTTTTAAACAATCGTATTGGGAATTTGAATGTTGTTAAGACTACTTTGCAATCTAATGTCCCACGCAATGATTCCTTTGAAGGTGTTTCTTATACCCCATCTTGTGGAAAGTCTGAGTGAACATTGTGCACATGCCAGGTGATGTCATCTAAAGATTTTGTTCTATCTCCCTTCAATTGGCAACAGAGTTCCTTATCTAAGTTTTCTGATGTTTGCTGCTGTTTACTTATTCCCATTGACTGCATGATCACTGCTGTGAACTCTTTGATGCAACTGAAGGTAGGAAAGCTGGAGTGTTTACCTGTGAGTTAGAGAAGGAGCAATGGAAGAAGTGATGGTTGGTGTTGGTATATGGTTAAGGACAACAGGTTACAGGAATCTGGAAAAGAAATAGAAAATCTACTTTTCCAGACCTGAGACTTATCTAGATACTATTATAATGAATTCAGTTAAGTGTGAAGAAGTTTTAGTGAACAAACACACTATAGATTGTGAGATTACCTATATCGAGAGAAACACAGCTCACTGGACATCACAGTGTAAAGGTGAAAACCTAGGAATTCACTGTCTGTTCCCTGACACAAAGTTGAGGTCAGCTATCATGGTTGCCAGTGACATGTGATGACCACAGTGAACCTGCAGGTTGAGAACACATGGGACACCAAGAATATGTGAATTAACTTCTCAATATCTCCCAGGTTTACTGAAGAAAAAAACATACATACATGAGCAATATTTAATGAATGGGAATTGGCATATTTCTGCTTTGATTGGGGTAAATAATTCTTCACCAACCATATGAATTCAGTTGATATAAACCTTGTAACCAACAGTTCTTACTCACCAAGTCAGGGTCTCCTGATTATTGTCAGTGAGAACAGAATTTTAAACAGGCCAGGATGGAGGAGTTACACCAAGGCTGAAGCTGTGAAAAGTTTATTACTAGCAATCTGAAATCAAATGAATATAAAAATAGAACAGGATTTAGAAAAAGAAAAAAGCCACCAGGGACACATACCTGTAACCTGCTGAAAAAGAAAATATTAATATGTTGTATATGAAAGGAGAGCGTATATTCTAATTTAGGAGATTTTGAAATTTCCCTTCACATTTTTTTCTCATCACTACCAATACCTGCGAATTTGTCAAAGAAATATACTAATTTCTCTGGTTGACACTCTATTTGTAAATTGAGAGACAAGGCTCATGATATATTCACAGGGTTTCGGGAATGGCTACTTTCTCAGACGGAATGACGACTTGGACCTCAACATCCAGCCTGACCCAGGTTTCCTCAATCTCCTTCTGCTCCAGCTGGACTAGGTCCTTATCTAAGAAGTACACTGTTCATGAATATGCAAATAATGTGAGTCTACTGTGGTAAATACAGGGATGTCCACACCTCCAACAACCTATGATCAGTGTCCTCTCCTTAGTCATTGAGTTCACAGGTCTTCACCATGGGATGGGGCTGGATCATCCTCTTCCTGATGGTAGCAGCTAAATGTAAGAGCTCCAATTTACAGAACTGAGGAGGGGTCATACACTCAAGTGGCATTGACATCTACTCTGCCTTTCTCTCCACAGGTGTCCACTCCCAGGTCCAGCTGCAGCAGTTTGGCACTGAGCTGGTGAAGCCTGGGGTCTCAGGTGAAGCTGTCATGTAAGACTTCAGGCTACACATTCACTAGCTATCTTGTGATCAGGGAGAAGCAGAAGCCCGGCCAAGGCCTTGAGTGGATTGGATTTATCAATCCTGGAAATGGTGGTACTAGCTACAAACAAAAGTTCCAAAGCAAGGCCACACTGACGGCAGACAAATCCTCCAGCACAGCCTACATGAAGCTTAGCAGCCTGACATCTGAGGACTCTGCACTCTATTACTGTGCAAGAAACACAGTGTTGCAACCACATCCTGAGTGTGTCAAAAACAATGGAGGAGCAGGAAACTGCCCTGAGACTGCGAGGGCAGACAAGAGCAGCCTGGGATCTTACTCAGCAATAATCACTCCTATCTTTTTTTTGTCTTTCCAATCCTTGTGGCCCAATCTCTTTTAATCTAACTTTCAATATAATAATATGAATAAAGTTATGTGAATTGTGTTTAACCATAAAATACATTGTATCTTGATAATATCTCAACAGTGACCACCCACAAAGCAATGAACAAATGAAAACTGTGATACTGCCCAATGACAAAAATATATCTGGATTCTAATAGACTGAAAGTTTGGATAAAGTAGCTTTGAATTTATTATTTTATGATTTTTAACATTCAAATCTTCAGAAATAACATCTGACAAAAGTAAAATTCCTCTTATAGTCTTAAATGATACTATTTTGTTTTTTAATCTCATGCTGTGTCTGCTTGCAGGAGTTCCAGACTCATAGAATTTACAAGATATACATATCACAGCATACTGTCATATGAATGTAAATCTTTTAAGTTGGTCACAACTGTTATTGGATTATTTTTCTAAAACTCCCCTATCAACCCAGTGTGTGAATCTGTTTGTGTGTGTGTGTGTATCAAATTCCAAAATAACTTCACATATGACATTGTTCATTCCATAAAGTCATTCACCTCATATCCAGAAAGGATTTGCACTTAAATTACTCTTTGCCAATAAATTACCTTTTTCTCCAATTTCCTATTTTTTTGCTTTGCATTTTTGTAAATTCAAGTAATTAATTTTAGTCACTCTCACTCTCCTCCCTTTGTCTTCCTGCCCCCTCTTATGAAAGACATTCTTTTCCTCAGTGGGTCTATCACTGTGACTCGTTTTACCTATGACCCATTCAATTTAATTACAACTTCATGACTGAGTGTGGGTGGGATTGGTGTCCACATTCCAGTTAGCTATACGAAGCTATAGTATACATGCTGTTAGCTATACCACTGCGAAAACTGTTGCCCTATTTCCCAACAGTATTTATTTGCCAATGAGCTTTCAGAAGCCTCATAGCTCTGCCTCTGTTTAAAATAATGGAATATTCCTGGGTGTCTGTTAAAATAAGCTTCTAACATTAATGAACAGAAATACAAGTAAATATATTGAAAAAATCTGACATTTGCAGATACATATACACTGCTGTAACATCCATAGATGAGGCCACTTGTGTCACCATTCATGGAAATTCAGAGAATACTATTGTACTGAATGACTAAAGCACCATTTCACCATTCCTTATTGGGACACAAACACAACAAAAAACTGAAGAAAATATAGAGGAGTGCATTATGGTAAGGACAGAGATTACTCCTGACACTTACACGGATGCCGCCAAGGCTCTGTTACCACTTAAGTCAGCTCTGTATTGCACTGCAACAGACACAATGATCAGGTTCTCTCTGTGCTCAGAAATATCCTGAATCTTAGAACTCTCAGGATCAACAGAGGGAGCCATAAACACAACTTTCACCACGACAAAAAATATACTAAGTGTAAGAAACATCTGGAGACTGAGAGAGTCCTCTGAGATGCTAACATTTCCTGTCCTGAACACAAACACCCGCAGAGACCATGTAATACATGTGATGAGGCAACTGTGAAAAGACTCCAAATTTATTTGAGTAAAAATTCATTATTAAGTAATATTGCATATGTATTTTAGTGATTACATGGGAACCTTATTGGAAGCACAAGCATCCATTGGACATACATATAAGAAGGTCACACATTTTCAAACATAAGGAGTCAAACACCCAGTCACCATCATCACAGCCATCTATAACATCTTTCCACTGGCAGGAGGGGTTTGCTTAGCCATAATAAATGACTGTGACTTGGGATATCAGGCATTGATTTTCCAGCCACAGTGTTGAGTCCATGTAGTTCTGCTGTGGGAGACCTGGCCCCAAAATGTGATATACTGCCCTGTGCAACCCTCAGCGCAGGGGAAGGCAAGAGGAAGAAGCTGTGGATAATGAAACAATCTGTCCTTCACTGCAGTTAGGATTTCAACTTTCATTTTTGTCTGCATATTTTTTCATTAGGAAAGGTATTTAGTCATATTGTTTATATGTAGCCTAAGATATGATTTTTGACACTTGAGAAAAGAGTTTAGAAGAAAGTACATTAAATCCAGGCTCTACCAGTTCACAGTCAGTGTCCCTAAGGTACACAAGATGAGACATCCTCATTCCTACACCACTCACTTTCCCTCACGCATGAGGTCTGACAATATGACATCCTGATGCATGAGCTCCCTCCATCTGTTCAGGGGAGATTAGCATCATCACAGTCTTTTATCATGTTTAAAGGATGACAGTCCTTCAGTCTTGTGTGATATCTTGAGTGTATGTACTGCAACTGTCCTGTTGTTCAGATTTACACAGAGAGAATTTCATTGCTGGTTAAGAACCCCCTTCAGTATTGGCTTTGTAGAATTTCAGCTTACTCTGGATATTCCCAAGTTTAATGGGAATCCTTTATTTCCAGACCCAACTGATATTCACTGGGTGACATTGAATCTGAGGAGATTAGATCCTGGCTCTTGTAGCAGGCGCCACATAAAGGAATGTCTAGAGGCTGCTCTCCTCTGTGCATGTGTAGAATCCCCATACTCATATTAACAACATGTAATCAGTAACACGTACAGAATATTCAATCAAAACCTGTGCTTCTATTGCCTCGAGAACCTAAAATCACGTCAAATCACAAAATTCTTGTGTCCAAAAAATACCCAACTCATTACACAGTAGCAATTCATTTACAGGTTCAATGTTGATTTTTAAATATTGAAAAATATTAAAGAAAAATAGCCAGATCTTTGTGCCTTACTTCAAATACTGCATCATACCCTATCACTCCTCTGCCCAACCAATCATTATTAATGAGAAGACAAACTGAGAGTTTGAGTTCCAAACAAAGATCTCCCTCTCTGGTCATCAGTTTTCCTGGAAACCTTGTGATGATTAAATTCTTCTACTTTATGTTTGATTTCCTAAATTGTTTTGCTGATTCAAGTTCCAGGAGTGACTTGAAGAAGACCTGTGCTCACTGCCTTACTAGCAAATAATAAATGTGAAATGACCCAGTGTTGAATGTGAAAAATCTTATTTCATTGTTGTAGTCAACTACTCTATTTTGCATTCTAGAATCTTAATTGTTTTTGGGCGAGTGGACTGAAGATATTTCCTTATGTATTTTTCTTCTCATTGGTTTCACATGGTATCTGATCCCCAATTATGTGAAGAGTATACAATAATCAAATAACACCTGTTTTTCTTTATCTAAAGCATTTGTATGTCACACATGTGCATGTTTGCATATATATACATATATACATATATATATATATAGACAGATAGACAGATAGATAGAGAGACAGAGAAAGGAATAGAGAGCGATTCAGAGTGACAAATGGATAAACAGACTGAAAGACTGACAGACACACACTATTGCAGCTAGAGTTTCTGAAAAGACTTAGTCTCTCAAAGCCGACTATTGAGTTCAACAAGATTATTTCCTGTTCCATCCCCTATTCCTGTAAAGGTATCATTAAATTCTTTCAGGCTGAGGGCAACTTTATTGTGTGTATATAACATCTGCATGCATTTTATTTGGCTCTTATATTTTCTAAATGAACCATGGACCAAGTAATATTATTCATTTAACTTTATCATTAGTTTAAATCATACGTGGATTACATATAAGTTCTTTATTTAATCTTCTATATATTTGGTTAATCACTCTGTATATATTTATGTGAGATAATTCATTGAATATAACTCTGAAAATTATAAGGATGGTAGTAAATAGCAATAATGACTATTTTCGTGTGACGTGAAACAAAAATTTAAATATCTCTTCTAATTTGCTCATTTGATGGAAAGCATCAAAGTTGATTCCATATCATTCGTATTCTGAATAATGTTCAAACAAACATGGGCAGGCAAGTGTCTATGTGCAATTCTGACTTATGTACATTCAGAAAGTACCCTTAGAAATGTAAATGGACCATAGTATATGTGTACTCTTTTATTTACAAAATCATCTGTATACTGCTTACTAGAGTGGCTTCCTCAGTTTTTACTCATACTAGATACGTTCAGGGAATTCCCCAAATTTCCCACATGCTCATTAATTTTTAGTCATCTTTTGATGCTAACAGTTCTTACTCTGATGATGGACTATCATTGAATCTATGATTTTCATCTTTCATATCTAAGGCAACAGAATGTAATTTCATACTCACAGAATTTTGTATAATTTCAAAACCGGAACGTTAAAATATAATACTGGTTGTAAAGATACGCATTGTGGAGCTGGAATCATTGCCTCAGTGGAAAAGAACATTGACTGCTCTTCCAGAGCACC